GTCTGACTCAACTTCACACCTTGTAACACAGGTAAGAACCCTTTCTTTGACCGATCCATTTTGAACTTTTTCAAAACTTTATCAAGGTATGTGCTTTGTGTCCCTGATTACTTTTATACTTTTGACACTTTTATTTTCCGAATAAAGAGCCGTGAGGTTGTTGCCTTGCAGTGCAAAGTCAAAAAAACGAATGGCTAGGAGGGCACGCTCGCCCATGAGGAGCCCAGCAAGGCATGTAGTCTAACATCCTTTACACGAGTAATTTGCACATACTATTAACTATATTCCATTTGCACTTAATTTGCACATTTGTGATATCAGGGAGGAGGATGAATATCATGTTGTGATCACATGCACTAAGAGAAGGGCGTTGAGAAATGCCATGGAGGCATTGGATCTTCCGGCCGGGAAAGCCTTTTGGTACACTGGTACTGACTGGTTGTAAGTATTACTGGACTCCGTGTTAAAGGAAATGCATGCTAAACGGATGCTTTTATTCTAGAGATGTTGGCACCTGAGGAGTTAATTGCACAGAAGTATCACAATTCGGGCATTACATGCAGATTGGTACCATGATTGTTAATTTTTGCGTGTCAGTACCAACATTGCTCCAGATTTTTGTAAATAGGTCTAAACTGCGTATAAACACGTATTGACGGTATATCTGACCAGTGGGGCCCGCCTGTCAGGTGCCGACGTGGCATGTATTTTGCAGAAAACCCCCTTACGTTGTATGTAATCAAAAAAATGCCCAAATTTTTTGCGGGAAAAAGGCTTTGAGAGGCTTTCTTTTTTGTTCGCAATTTTCACCACCGAATCTGGACTGAAATTTTCCGCCACTTGAACAAATAAAGAAACGAAAAGAAAAATTAGGCGCCGACAGGAGTCAATCCTGTGACATGCGGTCCAAAGGCGCCACGCGCTAACGACGACGCCACAGCGGATCTCACGTTCGAGTACAGGGGTTCATTTTCTTATACTATCCCTGAAGCGCTGGGCCGGCCCACCGAGGCCTTCATTTTTTTCTTCGTTTCGCACTTAACTGACGCGCATTTCTTATTTTTTAGTTTTTGATGGATACGCAACACATATCCTCCCCGCGAGCCTGTATCCACCAGTTTTTGGTAGATTCTACAATCTTTCCTGAACCGGTTTTCTTCTCTTCTTTATTTTCTCTTCTGGTTTCTCTTTCTTTTAACCTTTTCCTTTTCATTTCTATTTTCTCTTTCTCTTTTTCTTTTCCTTTTAATTTTTTACCTTTTCATTTTACTTTTTTCTTCTCTTATTTTATGTTTGTCTTTGTTTCAATTTTTTCCTTTCATTATTTCTTTTTCTTTATCTTCTTTCTTTTCCATTTATGGAAACATCTTTCAAATTCATGCACATTTTCTGAATGATGAAAAAAATCAAAATAATAAACACTATTTGAAATCATGGTCCTTTTTTAAATTAGTGAACATTTTCTGAAACCATGAACATTTTTGGAATTAAAAGATCATCATTTGAGATTTGGTGACAATTTTCTGAATTCATGAACATGTTTTTATTTTTGGTGAACATTTCTTGAACGCGTGAACATTTTTTGAATCAATGAGCTTCTTTTGAAACTAGCAACGTGGCCTGCTCGATGCGCGGGCTAGAACTTTAGAATGTTTAATACTGAAAACATCTTATTTAATTTGTGTAAACAAAAATTGGAACCAAATCTGATGATGTTTATAAATATAAGTATTTTTGTAAATATAGTTTTGTCTTAGGTATGTCTGTTTTTCTCATTGAATATATTTCTTATACATTTATCATTTACCTGCTTGTCGGGCATGCCATACTAAATGTACTTTTTATGATGAGACACATTCAATCTATATCTTGTATAAAGTTTTTTGATAGTTTTATCATGTTTCTATTTTCAATTTATTCCTGAAATACAAATTTAGTAGTTCTTATTGTTTATATGTAGGCGCATATGTATATTTTCTAACATCATGTAAGAATGACATGTTAATCTTGTAGTTGGAGTGATGAATGTACCTGTAATAATTTTCACTTCGGTGGGCATTACCTCGAACACGCGCGTCAGTTAAGTGCGAAACAAAAGAAAAATGCAGGCCTCGGTGGGCCGGCCCAGCGCTTCAGAAATAGTATAAGAAAGCGAACGCCTGAATTCTAACGCGAACTGTGGTGTGGCGTCGCGCCTGAGAGACATGGCAGAGAATCAATCATGAATCATGGGATCAGTACAGTTCCTGCTGCGGTAAGAGGAAGAAATTAAAATCTCATCTCAGTCGAACGAATCTGACACCAAAAAGTGCATGGGAGTCATGGCCACCCAGCTGGCCCATTCGGCAGTGCCACAGAGCTTGCACTGGTCGTCCCCAATTAGAGGAACAGTAAAATTAAACTCCGATGCAGCTTTCTGTGCAAGTACGTACGGGGATCAGTACAGTGGGAGCAGTCACAAGAGACAGTAAAGGGCATGTTCTCATACCTTTTCTCTGTTTCTTTTTAGTTTGCATATAAGATTTGTTTAAAGTCAAACTTTGTAAAAAAAAATCCGCAAAAAAAAAAAAACTTTGTAAAATTTGACTAGCTTTGTAGGAAAAGATATCAACATTCACACTATGAAATCAATACTATTAGATGCATGATCAAATTAACTTTGATAATATATAACGTCAGTATTGTAGATATTGATATTTTTTCCTATAAATTTAGTCAAACTTTGTAAAGTTTGACTTTGACTAAATCTTATATGCAGACTAAAAGAAACGGAGGGAGTCCGTCGGTTGGAATCTGGCGGCAAGCGATAGTGTGGAGGAGGCCGAAGAACGTACAACTATTGTTAGTCTGGAATCCCTAGCGAAAATCTACAGGGGTCCCGTTGTTTTGGAGATGGACTGTCAGGTGATTGTGAAAGAATTAACGGCGGAAGACAGAACCTGATTATCTTGCTATGGCCTGATTGCAGATATTAAGATCTACCTGGGAGGCTTCTCGGAGCTCGATGTCAACAGCATGAGGAGAGCATGCAACAATCTTGCTCATGCGTTGCCAGCAGAGACTAGACATATTGGAGACAAGGAGATGATAGCAGACATCCCATCTAGCCTTCAATCTATTATCATCTCTAAATGTGATGGTCGCATTTGAGTAGGCTTCCCTACTTTAATTCTCAAAATATAATATAATCCCAAAATATGCCTGATTTTACATAGTTCTAGTCTATACCCACAATAAATAATGACAATAAATTTCCTAAATCTTCTCGATATACATCTTTGTAATTTGTATCCACAATAAATAATGCCAATAAATTTTCTAAATCTATCCACATCTCTGCAATCTATATCCACATTAATTATTTGTTATAAATTGGAAATCTGCTCATTTACTTATTTTATAAGATGTAGCACTATCTCACGGCATTAAAATTGCAATATATGGTCAATTTGCTCTTTGTAATCTGCCCCACAATAATTGATGGCTAATAAATGTCCAAGATATGCTTGGTACATATCTTTGTAATCAGTATCCTCAATAACCTATGGCATAAATCAAGATTCAAAGATATGTATTGAGCATAAATCTGCACCCACAATAATATGTACCCAAAACATACCCACATAATTCCAAAATATGCTCGGTCAACATTTTGGATTTAAACTTTGAGAGATTTCTAGTTTGTATAGTTGGGGAGTAAAGGTGGGTGATTTGTTAATTTTTAGTTTTACTATCGAGACCCGAGTTCAATACTTGGACAATAATTCGGTGGTGAAACCAGATTATGCTCAGATGTAAGAAACTCTATAGTTCATTATGTTGTTGCTGAACTATTCCATGTATAACTTATACATAATTCACTTTAGAAATATAAAAAATAAGTTTCATAACCAACGTTAAAATGGCAAGCATTTGTATAAAAGGTTGAATTATCATTGTCAAACTATGTTTTGTGCTGGTGTTAGAAAGTGTTTTTACAATACTAAGGATAGCTGGAAGATCTTTAAACTTGGAGGCTTTGGGGTGGAGATTGGGGCAATACATTGAATATAACTCTTTAGTTTACTGTATATGATACAGTTTGTCATATATGAAGAAAAAATCCAGTTCCAATCCGGTTGATTATTACATCATTGGTTGCTCCTTCATTATAGATGACAAGGGAGACTTTGAATGTGTTATCACACCTTTCCTGGGGATGGTGTGAAGTAGACTAACTAAAAGAGGAAGTTAGAGTAAGATATCAGTATTAGTGGCAATGCACAATAAAAAACGTGTACACATGACATTTTACGTATACATGTGAGTCATGTTTTTTCTTGTGCTCATGATGTAGAAACTCTATTCAACCAACATCACATTATCTGATCATTTGCCAATTCTTTGATGTACTATGCATGATAAAAATTTTCACATTCCTTTTTGCCGGTTCGAGTGTTCTTGATGCCCATTACATCCACAGTTTTTCTCATATATTTTAAAATGTTGTTTTGCATATTATATATGTTAGGATTCATTGCATATATGTTTTTTTAACTTTGATTTGCTTAATGAAATTTCTGCAATTTTACATGTAAGAAAATGCAATATATTTATCCATAGCTTTCTTGCAAATTCTTGGAAAACTTTGAGAAGAAGCAACAACGACAATTTGCCATGTCCTTTGGAACTTCCCATCTCTTGTCAATTGCTTTGAATCCTCCACGACCATCCGTTCTTGAAAAACAAAGAGAAGGAGAAGGGAAATGTACAATGTGTGTGGCCTGAGCCAAATATATTCCAGCTCAAGTATGAGCCAAACATTAAAGGCTAATAAACTGAGCCAACGGAGGTTTTCGGTTGCTATCTGAGGAGTGAAATGAAGAGCAAGAGAACAAAGGAGTGAGGTGAGGGGCACCCATCCCCCATCTATTTAACTGCCAGCATTCCATAGCCTTAGGCACCCCTTAGCCCTTGCAACCTCAATTTCATCACAACACATTCCGACCACCATAGATCTGATGGCCCCTGTCTCCGCCGTTGGCATCAAGCGCTCCGCACCGAGCGACCATGAAAAGCAGCCTAGTGTCTGGTGCAAGGGGGCGTCATCGCACCAGGCACACCAGAGCACTTTGAAGGGCAAGCAAGTGGCCGACCCTAAAGACTATGGTGGCAACGAAGCTAACGAGCGGAAGCAGCGTCGGCGTCTTGCCATCGACATCAACGAGGTTCCCCAGAATGAAGACGACGACCTCGACAACCTTCTTCATGCCGGGGCCCCCACTGCAGGTGGTATGTGCTCCCAGCCGCCGCACTGGCTGCTCTCACTCGTGAACAAGAAGCAAGCACAGGAGGACGAGATACTGGAGCTTGCAGAGCAGCGCTTGCGCATGGCCACAAAGGAGCTGATGGAGGAAATGGAGCTGAAGAAGATGCGGCTGGAGAATGAGAAGATGCGGCTGGAGAACATCCGGCTCATGGTGCAGATCAAGCGCAAGGAGTTCGAGCTCAGCGTTGCCAAGCCGAAAAGGATCTAGGGTGTGTGCATGCATCTGGGTTGTTTTCCAGTACGCTGGAAATTAGGGGGGGAGATGAAACAAAAGGAGGAACAAATAAGAGGCTTCAAGAAAGATTCCTATTATGCTACATATGGAATAAATGTGCAACATATTTTGATTTTTGACACGCTTTCATGTGTAAATGTCTCCATTCATTATCTTTATTTAGTTATGAAAATTGATATTAAGCGCTTTCGGTAGAGAACCTCCGTACTTTGCGAAGCTCATTGAGACAACCAAAGGAGGAGGCTTTCATGGATGGAATCATCTCACTCTTGCCACTATTGCCAAATCCAACCTTCACCCCCTTGTTTCTACCCGTAGTCATTTCATAATACCTCTCCACATTACTTCACCATACTAAGATGAGGCATTTGATGAATCTCCATACTTGTGGTGGCCACAGGCAGAGACTGCCACAATATCTGTTGGGTTGATGAATTTTTTGTATGTCTCCAGCTCCTTTATCCATGGCATCAGAGGCGTTGAATGTGATATGTTCCGTTTCCTCTGAGATAGTGTGGACTGGTCAAAGATCACGAGGAAAAAAAAGTAAGATGTTGGTGTATGTCATGTTTGTCGTGATGCACAATCCAAAACCGCACACACGTCAAATTTGAGACATACGTGTGCATCATATTTGTCTTTTGTGTTCACTATATAGAAAAAGTCTTTGACTACTATCATATACACATTTTTCTCATATGTCTTGTCTGTTCACAAAGGTAGTAACACAAACACGCATCTGTCGGTGTACAGAAGTAGGGGCTCTACTCTGCACCCCCTTACCTGTGCACGGGCAGTTAGAGCCGCGCCTGCGGCCACACTTAGCAGGGCAAAGAAGGGAGGCCGAAGCTAGAAGACCATCAAAACAAGGCCAAGACCAAAAACTTAAAGAGCAACAGGGCGAGGTGGACTCCCCCGGCAAGACCCTTGCCGGGGCAGCCTCCGCAGCCCTGGCAAGAGCCTTGCCGGGGCAACTTGCCCAACACCAGCGGAGCACGCCACCCTTGAGCCCCAGGTTTTCCAAACACCATTAGCCACATTGGAACCAGGGCTCGGGGAGGCGCCTCCATGATGGCATGCAGATCTTCGTGAAGATCATTAACACACAAGATCAGATGAGGACCAGATGACGGCAATTCTCGGCACGATCCCTGCCTAGGAAACCCACGAGGCCTTGATAACCTGCAAGTATACGGGATAGTTGAATTTCGATAAGTAAGAGTGTCAAACCCAACAAGGAGCTAAAGGTAGAACAAATACTCTCTCAAGTCCTATCGGCCACTGATACGACTCTACACACGCTTGACGTCCGCTCTACCTAGAACATGTATGAAACTAGAAGTACTTTGTAGGTGTTGTTGGATAGGTTTGCAAGATAATAAAGAGCACATAAATAAAGAGTAGGGGTTGTTTAGATAAAGAAGCAATAAAGTAAATATAGCGAGTGTGGAAAAGTGGTGGTAGGAGTTGTGAAATTGTCCCTAAGCAATTGACTAAGTTACTAGACCAGTAATCACTATTGCAATTCTATTTGAGGGAGAGGCATAAGCTAACATACTTTCTCTTCTTGGATCATATGCACTTATGATTGGAACTCTAGCAAGCATCCGCAACTACTAGAGATTCATTAAGGTAAAACCCAACCATAGCATTAAAGTGTCAAGTCCCATTTATTCCATACGCAACAATCCCCCTACTCGGGTTTGTGTTTCAGTCACTCACGCAACCCACTATAAGCGAATCATGAACGCATTGCAACACCCTACAGCGGGAATCCCTCACGCTTGCGCGGCATGGAGAGAACAATAGGACAGCACCAATAATAAAACATGCAACTCAAACCAATCATAGCAATTCATCAATCACCGATAGGACAACGCAAATCTACTCAGACATCATAGGATGGCAACACATCATTGGAAAATAATATGAAGCATAAAGGACCATGCTCAAGTAGAGGGTACAGCGGGTTGCGGGAGAGTGTACCGCTGGATATAGAAGGGGGAAGGTGATGGAGATGTTGGTGAAGATGACGGTGGTGTTGGTGAAGATCGCGGTGATGATGATGGCCCCCGGCAGCACTCCGGCGCCACCGGAAGCAAGGGGGAGAGAGGCCCCCTTCTTTTTATTCTTCCTTGACATCCTCCCTAGATGGGAGAAGGGCATCCCCTCTGGTCTTTGGCTCCCATGGCTTGGGAGGGGCGAGAGCCCCTCCGAGATTAGATCTATCTCTCTGTTTCTGCGTTCTCTGATTCTGCCCCTTCACCGTTTCCTTTATATCTGAAGATCCGTAACTCCGATTGGGGTGAATCTTTCGCCCAGATTTTTCTCGTAAAATTAGCTTTCCTGCGGCAAAAGAAGGGCATCAACCGCCTTGCGGGTGGCCCACGAGGGTCCAGAGTGCGCCCATGGGGGAGGGCGCGCGCCCTGTCTCGTGGCCACCCCGGACACCGTTTCGCGTTGATTCTTCCTCCGGAAAATCCCAAATATTCCAAAATAATTCTCCATCCGTTTTTATCCCATTTGGACTCCGTTTGATATTGGTTTTTTGTGAAACATAAAATATGCAACAGACAAGAACTGGCACTGGGCACTGGATCAATATGTTAGTCTAAAAAATAATATAAAAAGTTGCCAAAAGTATATGAAAGTTGTAGAATATTGGCATGGAACAATAAAAAAATATAGATAGGACAAAGACATATCAGCATCCCCAAGCTTAATTCATGCTCGTCCTCGAGTAGGTAAATGATAAAAAAGATAATTTTTGATGTGGAATGCTACCTAGCATAATCTTGATCATATGTCTAATCATGGCATGATTATTAAGACACGAGTGATTCAAAGCAATAGTCTATCATTTGACATAAAAAACAATAATACTTCGAGCGTACTAATAAAGCAATCATGACTTTTCAAAACAACAAGGCCAAAGCAAGCTTATCCCTACAAAATCATATAGTTTGGCCATGCTTCATTTTCGTCACACAAAAATTCTCCCACCATGCACAACCCCGATGACGAGCCGAGAAATTGGTTCATACTTTTTAACGCGCTTCAGATTTTTCAACCCTCACGCAATACATGAGCGCAGGCCATGGATATAGCACTATAGGTGGAATAGAATATAACGATGGAGGTTATGTGGAGAAGACAAAAAAGGGAGAAAGTCTCACATCGACGCGGCTAATCAACGGGCTATGGAGATGCCCATTAATTGATGTCAATGCGAGGAGTAGGGATTTCCATGCAACGGATGCACTAAGAGCTATAAATGTATGAAAGCTCAACAAAAGAAACTAAGTGGGTGTGCATCCAACTTGCTTGCTCATGAAGACCTAGGGCATTTGAGGAAGCCCATCGTTGGAATATACAAGCCAAGTTCTATAATGAAAATTCCCACTAGTATATGAAAGTGACAACATAGGAGACAATCTATATGAAGAACATGGTGCTACTTTGAAGCACAAGTGTGGAAAAAGGATAGTAACATTGCCCCTTTTCTTTTCTTTTCTTTTCCTTTTTTTCCTTTTTTTCTTTTTCGGTGGGCTTCTTTGGCCCCCTTTTTTATTCAGGCTTCTTTGGCCTTTCCCTTTTTTTTCTTTTTTTTCTTTTTTTATGGTGCAATGCTCTATAATGATGATCATCACACTTTTATTTACTTACAACTCGATATTACAACTCGGTATTAGAACAAAGATATGACTCTATATGAATGCTTCCGGCAGTGTACCGGGATGTGCAATGATCTAGCGTAGCAATGATATCAAAAAAACGGACAAGCCATGAAAACATCATCCTAGCTATCTTACGATCATGCAAGGCAATATGACAATGAATGCTCAAGTCATGTATATGATGATGATGGAAGTTGCATGGCAATATATCTCGGAATGGCTATGGAAATGCCATGATAGGTAGGTATGGTGGCTGTTTTGAGGAAGATATAATGATGCTTATGTGTGATAGAGCGTATCATATCACGGGGTTTGGATGCACTGGCGAAGTTTGCACCAACCCTCAAGGTGAGAAAGGGCAATGCACGGTACCGAAGAGGCTAGCAATGATGGAAAGGTAAAAGTGTGTATAATCCATGGACTCACATTAGTCATAAAGAACTCATATACTTATTGCAGAAGTTTATTAGCCCTCGAAGCAAAGTACTACTACGCATGCCCCTAGGGGGATAGATTGGTAGGAAAAGACCATCGCTCGTCCCCGACTGCCACTCATAAGGAAGACAATCAAAGAAACACCCCATGCTTCAAATTTGTCACACAAAGGTTACCATACGTGCATGCTACGGGACTTGCAAACCTCAACACAAGTGTCTCTACAATCCACAACCACCCACTAGCATGACTCTAATATCACAATCTTTATATCGCAAAACTATTGCAAGGAATGAAACATATCATATTCAGCGATCTACAAGTTTATGTAGGATTTTATGACTAACCATGTGAATGACCAATTCATGTCATCTCTCTAAAAGGATATAAGTGAAGCAAGATAGTTTAATTCTTTCTACAAAAGATATGCCCACGCTCTAACAAATATAAGTGAAGCAAAAGAGCATTCTACAAATGGCGGTTTTCTATGTGAAGAGAAACAGGCAATCCAAACTTCAAATGATATAAGTGAAGCACATGAAGCATTCTATAAAGCCATACTCAAAAGATATAAGTGAAGTGCAATGGGCATTCTATAAATCAACCAAGGACTATCTCATACCAGCATGGTGCATAAAAGAAAAGTGAAAACTAAATGCAAAAGATGCTCCAAGACTTGCACATAATGCACGAACGAAACGAATTCGAAAACATACCGATACTTGTTGAAGAAAGAGGGGATGCCTTTCGGGGCATCCCCAAGCTTAGACGCTTGAGTCTCCTTGAATATTTACTTGGGGTGCCTCGGGCATCCCCAAGCTTGATCTCTTGCCTCTCTTCCTTTTCCTCATATCGAGACAT